GAGAGAGAGAGAGAGAGAGAGAGAGAAAGAGAGAGAGAGAGAACTGTGACAGAGACAGAGAATGTTTACTACATTTTTATCTTTTTGTTTCACTGAATGAAACGATAGACTTAACAGGTTACAGCGAACCCAGAACTAAGCCGTTTGCTTAATTAAAAACAACATCAACAACAAAAAGACAAAAGATAAAACAAAACCCGCTCCCCACACACACATGAAAGAACATGTAATGTAACGCGAATGTTAATGCCTTGTCGACGTGGCCAACAAAAGCCAGTAATACTGCACATTAATTTCGAACCATAAAATATACATATCAGAAACACGAAGGTGTATGTATTTATTTATAATGTCATATATATACGTGTGTGTGTGTGTGTGTGTGTGTGTGTGTGTGTGTGTGTGTGTGTGTGTGATATGTCACGACGTGGTGGAATCGGGCACTCGTTCAATTTTTGTGTATATGGAGTTACTGGTATCATCTTAAAAGTTGTTCATTTGCCTTTCATTTGATGAAAAATATACATTTATTATCTTGAATAGAAGTCGAGATACTTTCAGTTGAAGGAGACGGGGCTGCGTGGTTTCAGAAGTAAAATTAGAGAGAAAATGGCCGCCAAATTTTGGTGATTTCTATAGCTAAAGAATCCTTGGAAACTGCAAAGACACTATTTTCGTGCCTTTAATGAACGTTTTTACATACAATTCACACATTAGAAAGTTTTTGAATGGACAGACGAGGTATTAAGCCAAATGACAACAATTTGAAAAAAAATTCCAAACTGTCTGAAAAATGCCGATTTCTTCGATATAATTATTTTGACGAGCGCCTGATTTCACCACGATGCGTCTCCTAATTATATGTATGATATATATATATATATCATAGCATGCATATTGTTGTCTGCCCTTTAAAGTTTTAAGAGAAAAGAAAACATGTTTGAAATACAAGTGTTCCTCTTTTTTTAAACTAAAAAATCATCAACAACAGCAACAAAAACAACAACAACAACAACAAAAACCCAGCGTCTCTTCAATCGTTCCAAATGCGCGTTTTTCGCTAACCAGAGAGCTGTCGTTAATTTTAAGTTCGTCAACAACACTGTACACCAAAAAATCTTTGCGACTCATTGTCGAATAATAAAAACGTACCATCTCGGCCTTGCACGTAGTTCCAAAAAAAAAGAAAAAGACTTAAAAAAAAACTGTCCAAATTAAAAGGCCGAGACTCAGAGAGAGAGAGAGAGAGAGAGAGAGAGAGAGAGAGAGAGAGAGAGAGAGAGAGAGAGAGAGAGAGAGAGAGAGAGAGAGAGAGAGAGAGAGAGAGAGAGACATTTTTTCGGTCGCTACCCAGATTCGAACCCGGGACCTTTGAATGCGAGGCCAACACCTTAACCTCTAGGCCACGAGAGCCCCCGACAAAGCTTAAAAAGTTGTGAAACTCAACAATTTTTACGTCAAATTTCTCAAAACTAAATTTAGATACTGAGCAGATAGAACTTTGTACTGTAGCGATTGTTTCTAGCCAGCTTTAATGTGTTATGATGACCAACATTTCCCATACATATGTGAGACAGCGTGGTGGAATCAGGCTCTCGTCAAAATAATCAAAGTGAAGAAACTTGCTTTTTTCTGTTGGTTTGTGAATTTTATCAAACTTTTTTTTTTGCTCAACACCTTTCGTGCCTATTAAGGAAGTCATTTCTGTGTGGATTTTTCTGAAAAACATTGATTAAAGGCACAAAAAATGTAAATTTTCAGTTACCACGGACTCTTAAGCTAAGGAAATAAGTAATCTTTGGCGGCCATTTTCTCACTAATTTTACCTCTGAAAACAGGTGACACTCACCTCCTTCATTCTCAAATATCTCGACTTTTATTCAAGACAAATGGATACTTTTTTCCATCCAAATAAAGACAAGTGAACAAGCTTTACGATAATACCAATAACTGTACGTGCCCCAAAATTGACGAGAGCCTGATTCCTCCAGGATGCCTCACATATAACTCTCTGAGACATTTTGGGAAGTCATATTTCACAAAAATGAAGTAAATTAAAATACTTCAATATTGTCATCCCAGCATTGTTTTTATCAATACTTGGCTACTGTCATTGTCTCTATGCCAATTTAAGTTTGGAAATGCTTAACAGACTTCAGCGATATAAAAAAGAGCTGCAGGATAGATCTAAAAATATCTAAACGAATCCCCCTATAAATAAATAAATAAATAAATAAATAAATAAATAAATAAATAAATAAATAAATAATGAACAAATAAATGAATAAATAAATGAAAAAACAAAAAAATAAACAAATAAATAAAAAATAAATGAATAAATAAATAAGAAAATAGATCACCGACACAACAACACACACAAAGCACTTTTATTGACACAGCTACTTGGGCGACCAGAAGGTTAGAATTGGTTACATAATCGCTCGTTTGCGTCACAACTGAAGTGTACGAACGACAAAGTACCGCATTATCTTAAAGATCTTACAGAGTCATAAAATGTAATATACCGTCAATACATTTGAGATCTTTGGATACGAGTTTCATGAGAGTACCCACTGTGAAGTGGGGACAGAAAAGCACTTAACAGCGGCACCACAAACGGAGGTAAGAACGACGAAAGACAGTGGTATAGAGTATCATCTGCTTAGTAAATGATTGCAACAAATAAGATCTTGAACATGACCTCCGAAAAATAGACATGGGACAAAAAAGGAAAAAAAAAGAAGAAAAATGTGCGTCAGCCTCACAGCGAATCGCCAGCCTATCAGTTCATTAATAATATTATTACGTGTCACATCTATCAGATGGGGAAGCAAAGCATTAATGTGTTAGCGGCGATCATGCTTTGTAGTCAAAGGAGTCTGGTTTCAGAACTTTGATATTTTAGAAAAAGCTGTTTAGGAAATATGGCGTCTTGTCGTTTTGCATTTCATACGAGCAAACAGTCTGGTTAGGGGTTGTCTACTGAAAAAGAGTCCGGGGCAAAAAAACACAACACATTGTCATGCACAATCGAACCTGCAGTCTATAATGGCGGCATAGAAAGACGTCCTGGGGCCTTAATAAAACTTTTATTCAGCACAGGGTGTGAGCTCTGAGCTCTTTCGTGGATCTTACGTTTTTATGCAGGTCTCAAATTTTCAAGTCAAGCTGTCCCCACCAGACCAGGACTTTGTCAATGTCAGAGTTGCATATTGTTTGAAAAATCATTATTTGAGCTGCAGCCAAGCCTAACGAAAAGTTTTGCCAGACATAAGCACGAGATATATTGGATTTGTGCTGGGGGTACGCTTGAGCGGAACGTAATGGCCTTTTGCTATAGAATTTTCTTACTTGGTCTTTCAATACCTAGCTATTCAAAAAACTCTGACGGTTTCATTCAACCAAAGATTAATGTGTCGTAATTTGAAACGAAAAAGAAGAACGGCATTCCTGACCTTGACCCCTACATAGCTATTATGTCTGACGTCTACCTGCACAAAGCAAAAGAAGGGCCTTTTCAGTCTGTTCAGACGATTGCCCACAAAGTTGTCGACTCTTTCGTTTCTTTGCTTGGGCTTGTTTTATTTTGCTTTTTTTTTCAGAAACCCAGCTCCCTTTCATAGCATTTGGGTTTTGATCTATTTCTGCTCAAGCTAAGAAAATAAAGTTGAAAAAAAAAGAGTGTTAGCTTCATTAATAGACATTGGTAGCAAACTTTTCCAGCTGAGAAAAGGGAGCCAAGATATGATATTCATAAGAGTTCAAATTAGATTTTAAAAAACCCCAAACAAAAACATACAAAAACCCCAAACAAAACAAAAACAACAACCACAGCAACAACAACAATAACAAAAACAAACAATCAAACAAACAAATAAAACGATATTACATTAACATTTTAAGTTTTCGGGCATTATCTTGGTCCATGGCTGATCAATTTCTGCCTTCTTTCTCCAGGCCACTGCACATGATAATTATTGTATTTTGTTTAATTCCCCCTAGGACAGAATCTGAATCTTTTCGGAGGTGGGCAGCTGCAACGTTGACTGTGAAAGCCCACGGTATCTTGGGAGGGGGTGGGGTGGGTGAATGAAATACAAAATTCCACCTAACTTTATTAAAATAAATACATGTAACTAACTAACTAACTGACTAACTAACTAACTAACTAACTAACTAACTAACTAACTAACTAACTAACTAACTAACGAACGAAAAAACGAGCTAACGAACGAACGAACTAACTAACTAACTAACCAACTTGCTATCTGACTAACTAACAACGACAAAGAGCCTAACGACTACAGGTCAGCCAGTGTGTATGTGTTTACATCGACATATTATAATAGAAATGATACGTCCGTAATGTATAGTTCTTACTCAAACACTATCTGGGTCCCTTACATATAAATGCATAACGCATCTTCTATTTATAACTTAGGGGGGGGGGGGGCTTAAGTGGTGTTTGGGTTTGGGCGGTGTAGAGAATGCTTGCGTGAAGAAAACTCTACAGTATCAAATGTTAATGAGCGAGCGATAGAGTTAAGAGATACAATGGACAAATAGACAATGTGAGATAGATATAAAAAGAAAGGTAGAGAGAAACAGATAGAATCTAAAGAGAGAGGAAAAAAATGTCACTGGGGATCCCCAGTTTGTGCGTGGGGTATTGAGATATCTGTGGATCGCAGGGGGG